GGCCTTGGCTGCGGTGCCATTGACTTCAATGCACCGCCACACTCCCACCCCTGACCGCAGGGAGCCGGCCGGCTTGCATTTCAGTGCAGTCCAGAGGCCAAATGTTCTGGAACGCAGACGTTGGGGTGTGAACCGGCCCTTCAGCACCTTGCAGCTCCTGGCCTTGATTGGGCCAATCCCATTCTAATGTCTCACTATTGCAAGTACTCGCTCTTGGAAAGTTACACCTGGCACATCTCCAGTGTGCATCCTATGCCAGTGTGTTTCAAGGGCCACACCCATTTACCTGCATGGAGCCAATGGGCACGCACCATTGCTTCGCCACCTGCACTGGAACATTTTCACCACTCCATCTGACCCCCATCTACTCCACCACCACCTCTCTGCCACTTCACTTCTTACTGCACCAATGCTTCTGCATTTAGCCCATTCAGTGACTGAGCACACCTTTTTGCTATATTTTGTATATATTTGTCTTCCTAAATGCTCCTAGCACGGCCTGTTTTTATATCGACTTGTATCTGTTTTTTGCTCTATGGTTTATCACAACCTTCTATTTTCCCTTTTACAGCATCAATGAAACAGGCCACAGAGGAAGTACATCTTCTGAGGATGATTCTGACCACTCCAATGGTATTACACAGGCCGAGCCTCCTGCCTGCGGAACAAAGAAACACCCGGTCACTAAAAGAACTAAAAATGAGCTCAGGAGGCAGCAGAGACGGATCTCTGGATATCTGCACCAAATAAAGCGATGAAGGGCGGAGGATGGTGGGAGTTGTTGCAGCTGGCCAGAATATTTTGCGGTGTATAGAAGACCAGGACTACACGTGTCACTCCCCTCCTGGACAAGAGGAATCCTGAATATTTAAGCACTACATAGGACAGCCAAGAGTTTAGTTCTCCAGAAATACTTTTCCTTATAAAAAGGAAGAAACAAATACAATTCTCAATTTATAGACTATTTTTTTTCCCATGGCTGTCAGATGTCTAAATGGACCAAAGTTAATAGATCTAACATAATAGAACCTGGACTAAGCCGCTGGTCATGTGACTATCTCCGCTGCCATCTTGTTGCTCAGCACGTATTGGAGTCATTTAGCCACATACATGTCTTCAATTTGATATGTAGCAGCAGCATGGGGATGTCATTGTGTATTATAAAAATTAAATACAGCAATGTTAAAGTTGGGGGTAGATGAAAACACTAATTTTGTACATATAGGCCATTCAACATGTCATGGTGTGCAACTCGTGTATATGAACAAATTTTCCCCCACGTGTCTTTTGCTGCCTTATGTTTGTTTAATATTTCATTCATCAATTAATAAACAGCAATAATGCCAAAAATCAGTTAATTGAAATTCTGATAAGGACCAGCTGAACTCTGGGCACAAAACAATTCATATATTCCTTAAGGGGGGACAAATGGATTCGACTGAGTCTGTACCAAATGCCTTAGTAGTGACATTATCACTGTGCTGTACATTGCCTATGCAGAGAGCAGAGCTGTGGGAGGGACCCAGCAAGCCCCACCCACTCCAGGCTGCCTACAGGAGGGGGTGGAGACCAGACCAGTCACCCTGGAGAAAGAGAGAGCAGTAGTGACCGGTCTTTTTTACAGGAGGGGCGAAGACCAGACCAGTCACCCTGGAGAAGGAGAGAGCAGCAGTGACCGGTCTTTAGTACAGGAGGGGGCGGAGATAAGACCAGTCACCCTGCACAAGGAGAGAGAGCAGCAGTGACAGGTCTTTATTACAGGAAGCTCCAAGTCTTGCACTGGATTTACTGCACAGACCTGGAAGAAACACACAAAGCTCACCAAGATTCCAGTAATAATACTTATTTTTTTCCTTTTGGTGAAGTTTTCCTGCATTGTGAACACATTGACAACTGAGGCAGTGTGTGAGTTTGACAGAAAAATAATAGTATGTGCAAAAAAAAGACACTGAAACATGTGACGTTAATATAATTACTTTATATTGCTCTTCCAAAGGTTAGACAACCCTTTCAGAGAGCTCCCCATGTAAAAGCATTGTGTGGCTTCTCAAACTTTAACAATTTAGTGTACATACTTGAAGCTATATACACACATGATTATACAGAAATTTACAGCGTCTTACAGAATCATCCATTGAAAACAATAAAATAACGGGACAATATAAAAAAGCCGGGCTTGTCAGGGTTCTATAATAGTGCCAGCATGACCCAAGAGAAGAATCTTGTACTGAATAAGTTTCTGGATGAAAGGAAGGATAATACATGGCATTGATTGTGGCAGCATACACCAGGGGTAGCCAAACTTTGGCACTCTAGTTGTGGTGAAACTACAAGTCTCATGGGGCACTGCAAGAATCAGGCATGTTGGTATTTGTAGTTCCACCAGAGCTGGAGGGCTTACGTTTCACAACATAACACACTTGAATTGGTGCTGACACTGTCCTTCCTTCTGGAGGGGGGCTACTTTTGTTCCCCATGGTCTCTGTGTATGTTGTAAAGTAGTCACCGCTCCAAGCTCACTCCCGGTATGGATTACAATCTCGATGTACATTAAACATGAGATTGTAGTCCATCCCGGGAGTGAGCTTGGAGCGGTGACTACTTTACAACATACACAGAGACCATGGGGAACAAAAGTAGCCCCCCTCCAGAAGGGACAGTGTCGGCACCAATTCAGAGATGATTGGAGGATCTACAGCCGAGTGATACACAAATAAGATACTTTGTTGTTTAGTGAAGGTACTTGAATGTATTTTTAAGGTTTAACTCCTGAGTTTAGTGTCACTTTAAAGTAAACCTATTAAGAGAAAAACAAGTAGGCAACATTACTGATCTTAAAATGTTAGTTGTCTGTTATGGTGGACCACCGAATCTTTGAGTCACTGATCCAGCAAAAGTATGAAATCGGAAGAATCAGAGTCCATTCATATGCTAGTTTGGGGCCACCGTAAGCGCAGTATGTGAGCCGGGGTGGTTTACGATCTGTTGTCTATAACGTGAAGATGTAATGTGAATTTAGATACACGCAGACACAAGGGATTAAAGGAAGTCTCTCATCCAACTTGGTGCAATGCTAGAATGGCCTTATGTAGTCAAACAGCTAGAATCTTTTATACCTATTGGGCATATAGAAGGTAAAAGTGTAACCCCTTATTTGCTTCATTTTGGTCTTTTACCCCTTTTGCTGCCAGAGTGTTTTTTGCACATGTTATAATCCACATTTTAGGCCTGATGATTACTTAACCCCTCCCCTCCCGCATTATATATTTCCTGAAAGCAAAGACCTTGTAGAATAAAACGTTGGCAGTTGCAAATTTTTATGTCACATGATATTTCAAACCCAACATTTCTGTAACAAATACACTTGTGTTTTTGTGCACTGCAATTTAATACCCAATTATTTGTAACATAAAAGATAAAGTGGTGCCAAGTAAAGAGATGCCCAACATGCCAAGCTTAAAAATTGTGTGCTCCTGTGAACGGGTGAGAGAACACAGTACCCCAAATTCTCCCTACCTAGATGATGCTTTAAAAGCCTGTACAAGTCATCAGTTTAGAGTTACCTGTGAATATTGGCTCCATAATTATTGATCTCACTCTGGCACACGTAGTGATACTTAAACGTGTGCCACAGTCAATGTTTTCGCTAGCTTGTGCTTGATCAGCTTTTTCTCTAGCTGGAGAATGGCAGCTCACAAACCAGAAGTGATGCAATCAGCGTCGCTTCCAGTTACATTCAGTGGGGAGGGACGCGGGGCGATCAGTGAATGGACGTTCCCTGGTCTCTCTCCCTTGTACTTGCTAACACCTGAGAGGCCAGTCCCGGGCGACAAAGGACATACACCCTTGGCAGCAAAAGGGTTAAAAAAAAAAAAAAATTCTTATCCATTTCATGAGAGCAAGAAAATAGCTGTTGCTCCTGCCAGAAATCTAGTGAGCTGATAACTGCAACACAGACAGAGAGAGCAAGAAACAAGCTTTGTTCCCAATTCTCTGAACTACAGCATCTGTTATGAAGGAGATGGGGAGGGGTATGTAGTCTGTTCTAGGGTGACTACACACACACTGCACTATCTATACCTGCTAAGGAAGTGGGTTACTTGCAGAATCACCAGTTGATTTAAAAAAATGCCACCGTTGCATTTAAGAAATCTGCTTCTGGTCAACTAAACAAAGGGGCATTTTGTTACCAAAAAAGGCTACTTGCTGGCTGTCCTGCTTTAAAACTCTGACCCCGAAAACGTTTGCAGTGAGAAGTCGGAACTCCTGCTCTGCATATCGACCAGTAAAGCTGACCGTACGCTGCTCGAATTTCAACCAAGTCCTGCTGATTCGGCTAAATGTCGAGCAGTGTGTGGCTCTATCATTACCCCTTTATTAGACGAAAATAGATTTTTCAATCTACTTTTGTCGAAGGAGCCGGTCTAAAAATCCTTGGCCAATCGCCTGCAATCACTGTTGGGGTATTCAGATGGAGAGTCCCCCATCCACCTATAAACAACCAGCAAAGGCCAGATTGTTCCCTCATTGCCTCCTATAGTCATTCAAGATCGGTCACTAATTCTAAAGTCAAAGCTTTAGAAGAAGATTAAGAAGTCAAGAAATACAAGTCTGCGTGCTGGAATTTGTAGTTCCTTGCGGTTTATAGTATCGGCCTAAACTATTAAAATAGCAGAGCAGAGGATGGTGTGTTCATGGCGAATTTTACAGTACAAGAGAAGTGCTATGTGTATAAACAGTGGGATACTCTGATTTATCTTTAGTGCATCTGTTACCTTTCCTGACAACAATTTAGCTTACTTGTACAACGCAGCAAACGTACATTTCCTTTTAATTGTAAAAGATTCCTTTATAAAAGCAATTATTTGACACGATCACCTCACAGCAGCACCCTTACATTAAACACTGTTCTGATTATATAGTACTCCGAATAACATTTTAATAGCCTGATGAGCACCTCTAGCCTACATTAACACTTTAATAAGCATTACGATGTAGATGCTGCAGTTCTATGTACAGTAAACTCTCTGTTATCTAGAATTCAACTAATCGGAATTCTCATCCAAAACGGCGAAAAAATTTAATCTACTGTGCACCCACTGTTCTGCGATCTTCTAGGAGAGAGGGCTCTACAGCATGGTAAGGTAGAGAAATGGGCAGAAAAGTGCTCTATTATCCTGTGGACGAGTGTCTGACAATCTGTGAAAACTGCTGTGTTATCCGGGGGACGAGTGTCTGACAATCTGTGAAAAGTGCTGTGTTATCTGGGGGACGAGTGTCTGACAATCTGTGAAAAGTGCTGTGTTATCCAGGGGACAAGTGTCTGACAATCTGTGAAAACTATGGCATTAGTTAAACCTATTTTGATTAATAACTCTCAAGCAACCAGAAGCTATATTTATCTGGAAGCTACCGATGCCCGTGGATGCCGGATAACGGGGAGTTTACTGTATTTAACGATTTGAATGCTGCAGATTCTATTTTAGGCCTCTAATGTGCCTCTCAAAACTGACACAATGTGAATCTTGGAAAAAGAAAAGAAAAAAAGGTTTTCGATGAGGAAATCCCTGACTGCTTTTAGATGATAAGCAACAGAGGCAGCCAATTACAGAACATTTAAAGCTGAAGTAAGGGGGGAACCCAGCCCCTGAGGCCTTTTAACCATGATGTGTAGTATGCACAGCATATTAGCACATTATGGTATACTTACCTGCCAGAGGAATTATTATTATACAGGATTTATATTGCGCCAATAGCTTGCGCAGCGCTTTACAATATAAGGAAGACATTACAATCACAAGACAAGACGGTAAGGAGGGCCCTGCCCCTGAGCGCTTACCCCATAGTTCTCTTTTAAGTACAGGAGCCAAGAGGCAACATAACTTAGTGCAAGAGCATGTTTAGGAACCCTTTTACAGGACAAAACTGAAGAAGTGCACAGACCTATAGTAATTGCTTTAATGAGGTCAGTGATGAAATCACAGTCCCACCTACCGGAAGGGTGAATTTTAGGGATTCTATCGCCATGCATGGAACCATGCCGGTACAACCAAAGCAGATGTGTAATGTAGTGTGCAGATCATAAAATGCTTAAAACAATTGCATTCTTTACATTACAGTATTTAAAGCACTTGTATCTATATTACAGCTCTCCATTGTGGGTGCAGTTGGGCAGACCGGTGTTTTGTTCATGGCTGTCTGGGGGGACTTCTGGCTACCTCCAATGCAGCACTGACAGACCCGTTGAGTCCTATATATACACTCCTAAGTAGAACCCACTAAAGCAGGGGCAGCCAAACGTCAGCTCTCCAGTCCCGTAAGGCATTGCAAGACTGACAGCCACAGCCTTGATTTCCAGAGGCATGATGATGATTTGTATTTCCGCCAGAGCTGGAGGGTCGAAATTTGCCCTTCGTAATTTGGGATTACAATTCAGTATTTATCACCTGCGCCCCTCTACTGGATTCTCCATGGGTATACATGATCAAGTTTGGCAGTTGAGAAGATTTCAGTATTGACGGTCATGACTGTGCTTAGTTTGAAGGGCGACAGTGATCTCCCCGCTGTGGTCCTAGACAGCAATGACGTCCTAGTGAGAAATCAAACTTTGCCCAATTCCACCCAAAATGTTTTGAGTAAGGTTCTTCTATCAGTGTTTAGGAAACCGGCCTATACTTTTTGAAGAGAAGCCTAATATCTTGCCTGCAAACTGGAGCCAACAGCTCCTACTTACAACACTGAACCATCGCTGCCATCTCTTCTTAGCAGTCAGTCAGCATGTGGCAAATAAACAGAATTAACATCCGTTGATTCAACTGGTTCATATTTATGTCCTCTGTGGCAGAGTTCATATTAAGAGTCATTATTTCAATGACTTCCTCTAACAAATCCACAAAGACTTGCAGAATCCATCTTGGCAGATTTTGTAAAGGAAGCTAAAACATTAAAGTCCGTAACTAGAGCCTTAAAAAAAAAAAAAATAGAACAAAACCCTCACTGAGGGCTTACAAATTTTGCTGTGGAAAAGGTGCGGGGAGAAGGAGCAGGTCTTTGGATATTGATGGATAGAAGCAAAATGAGACGAGAAAACTCTGAGCTGTCCTTTAAGCGAGTGCACCTTTTTTTTTTACCACTGCATGCAGTCCCCTCTGGGCATATGAAGTGCCATCCCATACAATACTAAGAGAGCCAGTTAACCCACATGCACGGTAAATACCATTGTGGTGCTATAATTCAAGCAAAGTCTTTGCATGGCTATGTGCATTTAGTAGTCCCATCACTGGAGCCTTTTTTTAAACTTTATTTTATTATTTATCCGATTAACCGATTAATCGAACCTAATAATCGGCTAACTAATCGATTTTGAAAATAATCGTTAGCTGCAGCTCTACATGACTGTCACTTCTAAAGAGGTTCTCTTTGAAAGAGTTAAACTCCAGATATTAGTGAAGGATTGCCATTTACAGCCCCCCAGTTCATTGACGTCTACAGGCAGACCAAAAAGTCTGTGCTCAGATCTGAGCTCCTGTCTGATTTGCTGTGCTGAGACAGACGACCCGTCAAGAAAGAATTTGCCATACCTAACTATTCAGTATCTATGGCAGATATTCTGCTAACAGGTCATCTCAGGGCAGCTGGTTTCAGATAAGGATCCAGACTTTTAGGTAAATGAGCTGTGGTCTGTATTTTACAGGTCAGTCCCCCACTATAAGTGCTATGAGAACCTCTTTAAGGTGCCCATGCATGCTGGCAAATTATCAGGCAGAGTAATATAGGACGGAGAGGTGAAGCCTACGAGTCGAGACCCTAAGAGCAATCTCAAACTTTCTAATCTTATTGGAGCACACTGCCCAGGAAGTCAAACTTGTGAAGTTCTCAGAACATCGGAAAAGCTGACCCTTGGGAGTTAAAGGAGAACTATGAGGTGAGTGCTTTTCACTCACCTCATAGTTCTAGCCGACCTGTGACAATGAGACTGTCACAGGTCGTCTCAGTAGATCGGGAAGTGAGCGAACGCATACCGGCATTTGCTCACTTCTCGATCCTGTCACGGCTCTCTGCCGTGGCAGGGGAAGGGCTGGATTCCCCCCCTCACCACTCCACCAGAGCTGACTGGCGGAACGGACGGTGGAGGGTACAGCTGGCTCTGCCTCTAGATAGGCAGAGCCAGCTGTCACTCACGCAGCTCGGCGGATCTCAACATCGATGACGGGATCCGCTCCGGCGTCTCAGTATACTGCGAGCTTAGGTTGACGGGAGGATGCTAGTTTGTGTCCTCCGGTTACCCTAAGGAGAACTATGGGGAAAAGCCCTGACCCCATAGTTCTCCTTTAATAAACCAAAGCAATCTAACTTGTGTAACCACACTCAGAATTGTTAAGCATTACAGGTCTGTGAGGCACAGAGGAGTCCAGAAACAGCCCAAAATGAAAAGGCCAACGCACCTGGCCAGATGTATGACCATGCATGGAATTTCCATACAGCTACTTCTACTGTCCTATGCTTGACTGAAACATTTAATTTACACTGCGATCTGACCTAAAATAATCTGGACAATTCTTTTAAAGGCCATGTCCATCCAGAACTGTTTTGTGGCTGCACGCTAGCAGGCTGGATTTGTGTAGCAATTTTGTGACTCTATTAGACTGCCTCTCCCCTCCCCTGTACCTGGAATACTGGGCAGCCAACTGTGACAGTTTTGCACAGGTCTGTAATAGACTTCTCTTTGAAGCCAAGGCAGACTTTCACTTCAGACCTGCAATTAAGAAGTGGTCAGGGACAGGTTTTATTCTCTCCAAGTGCTGCTTTAGAGGATCTAAGGGAGGACTTTATGTATTCAAGCTGTAACCTTGTCATAAGGCTGTTGCATAATCTATGTCACTGCTCCTGTTTAGCATGACCGTGCTGTGCAACACGATTATTGTTCCCCTTTGCGTTTCTAACTGCAGCTTTACTGAGGGAGTAGAACTCCTGCTGGAGATTCACCTGCAAGACCCACTCCTTGAGAAAGCCCATGGAGGAGTTAAAAACAAAAAAGGGTGCAGATCTCAATGACAAAGTAATGAACAGATACAATACAACAGTCAATGCTTCAACAGACCAGCATCTACCCATGAATTCAATATCCATTCTGTATGGAATTAGTCATTAAGACAGAGTGGCACCCTCAACGTTAAGTCCTGATCATTCTCTTTCAGTGTGTGGGCACCATTAGTTTTGCCTATGCTTGGCTCATGCAAACAGCGGCTTACCAGCAACAACTCAGCCTGTCCTAATGGGCATGGATACCCTTGTATCTCCACACTAGTTATGGGGTTACAATTGGGCTGAGGTCTGCCTTCTAGCTTGCACGCAGTTCGCTCCATCGTTCAGACAGCAAATCACAATCGGGTTTTAAATAGCAGTACAATTTGGGGAAAGAGCAGACTATGCTTGTAGATAATCTAAGATGTCACACTGCTTGCAGAGTATCCCTCTCGTATGCATGCAGGTGGAATGTACTGAGAATATGTATACATTCCAGACAGTGAATTATTCTTTCGTAAAAGTGCTCCCAACACCTGGGCTGTAAATTTGCTTCGCTCGCCACCACCCAGACAAAAAGGCTGGTTTTGAGGTCAACGAGGTTGCTTTACAGCCCTCGTCGCTATCCATGCCAGACAGCGCTTACGGTTAAGTCTTTTACCACCAGGAGAAGAATGGCTTTCTGCTCTGGAAGCTCTGAGTATAGGACTCGCTGGCACTCTTCTGATGTGATCGTGCTGTTTCCACTATTACGGGCGGCATTTGGACGAGCTGCAGTGGGCTCCTCCCATCTTTAAGTGCCTGAGTTAAGTTTAGGATCTAGGAGACACAAATACATTACGTGAGAACATTCTTGCCATTTAGAAATTCAAGCGTACTCGGAGTATGTAAGAAATGATAGATAACTTAAAAAACACAAGCAAGAGTGAAAACTGCGAAATGGAAACTGGAAGAAGTCAAAAGCATCCAAAGCACCGTTCTTCAAACACACTAGTTTCATTCTCCTGACATAATCTAATAAATGGATGACATATCAAGTATACTATACAGTGTATATATGGAGAGGGGGTATATATTCTAAAATCTGTGTCCATATGCATTCATATATGCTCTTGTAACACGGACACCTCTCTCTTGTAGCAATGCACCTCTTTAGCAAGGCTGCAGCTCTAGTGATGGCAGCACACTGGTAACAAACTTGAACATGCCCACCCTGGTCTAGCTGGCTCACCATTAGTAAGTATGCCTTCAATTGCATTTGCAAACCCCATTGGCACGTGTGCTGCTTGAGATTTTGTGTATAGTTATGTATAAACATATGCACACATGTTTTGTTGTTTTTAGGTTTAGATATGCTTTGATGTGTTTTGGACATTGTTATCTACCTGTGAAAACGTCCTTTGGGTAGACATCAAAAAGTTGTGAGACTGCTGCTGCGTACTGCAATCCTGGGCTTAATGTCAGCGGCACCAGCAGACTCTGAGCTGTCCCTCAAATGACCCTCTAAAAGATTATGTAGAGAGCTGAGGGGAGGAGATGCTGGGCCAGCACTAAGACTAATTGGGCATTGCCAGAAGAGGAGAGCGCTATTACGTACAGGGAGGGCTGTGCTAGGGAGCTGACACTTTCTGCAGTAGTATAATTTTCTAGCATGTTCAGATGCACATTGCAAGTCAATAAAAATGTTGTTTATGAAAAAGAAGAAGAACTTTGCAAGTAAGCTTTTAAAATACTTGATTTTTCTGCACTTTTTTTTAAATTGGTGACAGGGTCTCTTTAACGTGCTGAAGTCTGTTCAGAGTCGATACAAAGGCTGCAAAGATCTCTTTGATGTAAATTTAGATGGGAAACTAAGGAAGAGCCCATGTAAAAGAACATGTCTAAACCTACTATGACCATAGCCAGTGTTGAAGTGAAGTAGAGCCCAGCACTGGGGAGGATGTCTTACACTGGCTTTCTGGATCATTGACCTGCACCAAAAACTCCACTACATTTTGTGAGTGTGCCTCCATCAATGCCAAATCTGTAGATATGTTCAGCTATTATCTTATTAGACTGCCATTTGTATTATTTTCTACCTATTTACCCATCCAGGCAGAAGTTAGATAGTATTAGTGAATATCGACTATCTCTGGATGAAAACAATACCAAGACAGGCGACATATAGCCGAGACTATAATGTGTTTCCCTTACTTATATTCTGTACTGTGACAGGCGACATATAGCCGAGACTATAATGTGTTTTCCTTACTTATATTCTATACCGTGTATCACTGGTTGCTTATCCTCAATTATCTGGTGGAGTCCATATGGATCACCATCACATTAACTATTACAAGCAATCATCTGTGCTGACTGTGACCATATGACTGATCACATGCTGTAATAATGACTGATCACATGCTGTAATAATGACTGCATGATTATCTGTGGCCATGTGATATGTAATACGGTGCAAGTCAACACCCAGCATCATCCTCACATGAGCTGGCACTGGGCTAGAATTTGTAGACAGCAGATTATATCCCTGATGGGCAGATAAAGCCTTCAAAACTTCCCCCCCCCCCACCCCCCTTATTTTCAGCTAAAGGTGACCTCTGTATCTAAACTGAAAATCTGTCATGGGGCACATATGGGGATTCAGGCTGGAATGGCAGCATTGCACATTGTGTGAACTGTGGTGCCATTTATTCTTAGTGACACTCCAAAGCACAGTATACCAGTCCATCAGCTAAAAAAAAGCCAACACTGCCATAAAGTAGTATAAAAGCACTGGACCTGCAAGATTTATCCTTTTGGTGTGGCTGGCAAATTATGAAAGGATTATAGGTGACCTGACATTACAGAGGCCCTCCATGGTCTTCTTGGTTTGTAGTGTCAAATTGCAAGATTGTGCGCCACACTCTTATTAGTGCAGATACATCTTTATTCAATTTAGGGTTGAGGGGACAGTATAGAAATAGCCAACACGTTTTGGGGGCTCATGCAAATCCCCCTTCATCAGGGCTTACTAAGGGAGAGCATGTATCAGGACTGTAATGGCTTGAAATTGGATACCATTTTGATCAGGGTGTGAGAATGCATAGAGCTGGTCAGCACCTGATTTGGCAGCTTCGGCATCTTAAGGTACCTTATGAATATTAGCAAATGAATGGCTGATTCCGAGTATCTGAACTCTGGTAAAACATTTGCCAACTTTGTTGCTTTCCTCTCAGAATGAAAATGAATCTTTAAAACCTTTCAATGGACAATGCAGATTTCATCTTCCACCACACCTTTTGATCATATGATAACTTGCAAATTAGAAACCAAGGGTGCCTATACACTGTGCGAATTTCGCCAGTTTGAAGAACTGGCGAAATTCGCACAATGTGCGCCGCTGTCGACACCCTTTCGGCCGGCATCTCTGGATCAGCTGATCGAAGGAGCTGGCCGGAAAATCTTTGCACGACTAGAGACCCGGCAGCCAATGAGCTGCTGACTCTGTTCAGGTACTCCGATGGGCCAGCGGCCGCTGTCAGAATACAATGCAAACAGCAGGAGATTCCTCGATCAACGCGCTTGTAGTGTTGATGGACAAATGTGCTCTATTTTATTTTCGTTCAGCCCGCGGGTTTAATGAAAAAAAATAAAAATAGAGCAGTGTATGTCCAGCCTGGTGCGGATGAAAGACAAATGGAAAGCTCAAAAGAGTTGCCAAAAGAGCTGCCAAGCATGAAAAGATCAATGTTCTATCTCGAGTTGCAAAATAAAAATGAATTTGTTTGTTTAGCCATTCTTGGAGTAGGTCTAAAATCAATGACAGGAAATGACTATTGCTCTCAGATAAAAATGTACAAGTGGCATATTTATGTGAGCGGCAAGCAATTTATAGGCACTTAACTTTATGGTGATCGCATTGTTTACACGATGATGAGGTCAAGGCAAAATGATAAGAAATGCAACGAACATGAAAAGAATGTGAGAAGAAATTAAACAGAAGATATATAACCTTACCTGTCCTCTCATTACTGCAATCTGTTTGTGGAACTGTCCTCTGTCAAAGCCGGGATCTTTCTGCAGAAAATGACAGGTGACAATATATAATTAGGACGTCCTTTAACCTGCACTGATTACACCAACATAAATGATCTTCCTGCCATTAAAATAAATCTTTCTTGGAGGGAGACATGGTGGCTGCCATTGCCGAATTCTCATTCTGCAAGTCATAGCTGTCTGACATAGTGATCGCCTGGTTTCAATATTTAGAGGGAGGGTTATAGAACAAAGTCAGGATCACATCTACTGTGACTCAAGCTGCTTCTCAATTACATATACATAAATGTCAGCGTGAGAGTGTGTGTGTGTGTGTGTGTGTGTGTGTGTGTGTGAGAGAGTGTGTGAGTGTGAGTGTGTGTGTGTGCGTATTTTTTTTATTTCTGACCCCCCTGCAGAGACAAGTAAAGGCAGAATGGGGCAATAGGAAAGGTATCAGCTTTGCGACATCCTCCATCCCTGTCTGTATTGGCATGACCCTAGTCAACACCAACTGCCTACAAATCCATGCTCCCTTGTGAAGTGACACTCCCTCCCTGTCTCCCTGGTTTAAGGCCTGTTGATACCTGTGCATTTTAGGAGCACTACACTGCAAAAATCAAACTAAACATAGGTTAACAAAGGATGAAGGATCTCCAGGTCTTGGAGGTACAATGTCTTACGTTTGCCCCTTACCTCCACATTGCCATCTATTTTAAACAATATAAGCTCTCTATAGAGTCCTACGTATAAACCTGTTCCAAAGAAACAAGGTAAGAATTTTTTTATTTTTTTTTTAAAAAGGAAATAGGTATGCTGTGGGAATGAGAACACATAACATAGTGGGCGGCTTCTCAAATTTGAGAAGAAAAAAAAAAGTAGAAATACAAGTGAAGAGACCATTTAGATAGTCGTACCTTAAACAGCTCATAGAGATCTTCCTCCAAGTCTTTCATAAAATTGGGGTCTGAGATTTTGGGCAGGATGAGTTCTTTGATCTCCTGGGAAAATGGGACTTTGGCTTGTGATAACCATGCCCAATAAAATGGATCTGTACAAAAAACAGAGAGAGAAGGTAAAAATAGAGCTTGCAATAACACAAAGCCAATAGGGTAAGAGAAGACATGTATGTGTAACTGCTGAGGAAGGTGGAAGGATCCATCAGTGGTTAAACATTTCCTAGCATGCTTGAGGTAATTGGGTCATACACAAAACGAAACCAAGGCGGAAGGACATCAGTGGAATTGCAGGATTACTCCTTTCATTTTTCACCACAGGTCCCACAGTGTACACTACAAAAGACACTAATTTGCAGGGAAAGTATGCACTAGTGCATGTTAAAAGCCATAGTGAAAACCAGTCAATCCTATAAGGAAAACGTGTCATTTACAGTCTTTGCTACACATAGGGTGACAAAGTGCAAGGGCAATAAGCCTTGTAGTCTGAGTTTCTGATCCAGGCTTGCAAAGGGGCCAGTGTCAGCTAGTACAGTATCAAATGCTAGGGAGAGCGGTGACATCACTCCACTCGTCATATAGCAGTGCCTAGGCCTAGCAATTGGCTGATATACCCAAGCACTGCCACATTGGGAGGAAGTAATATGCTCCCCCCATACCCAAAAGCCATGGAGAAAGGAGCGGCATGGCAGCGCTGGAAAGGCAAGTATGTGGGATGGGGGAAGTTCAGCCCCTCCTTAACATGAGGATAGCACAGTACAGTGCCACCTGCTGGCCACATAAAATATTCATATGAAATAATTCATAAGTACCGGACTTTAAATTGCTTAAAGTAGTATTAAAGGCTATTAGTTTTTTACCTTAATGCATTTTCTGTATTAAAAAGGTAAAAAATGCCCTACTACCTTTCCATGCCCCCCCCCCCAAACACTTACCGTTACTCCACGTTCACCGCCGCTGGCTCCCAGACTGAGGGAAGGGCAGCTATGGGTTGCTGCACCTGCCTGTCAAGATACTGAGAGGAGGCAGGAACAGGGGCGTGGCTTGTTGAGTGCTAATGTGTCAATGGATGCACACAGCATGGCTCAATTCCCGGCTCGTACGCATGGGTGTCTGCTTTACAACCTGCTTGGCAAAGGAGACACCCATAAACAGGAGGGGAGGGGGCAGCGGTACATCCTGTGAAAAATTTAAATTAAAACGGGCAGTATTAAAAAAAAAAAAAACAACAACAACAAACACAAGGGTTTAATATCACTTTACCATAATAAAGAGAAAAACTCTCATGGATATATGGAGGATATAGGATAGAATGGACATACACCAAGATAATTGGGAGATTCATTGAAAATGTTGGGATAGTACATAAGGCTTTCCTAATTTATCCTAGCAAAGCATTATAATGAAGAATCTCGATAGAGAATGGGGGAGGTCCGGCATTCCTGTCTCCCCCCCCCCCCCTTTTTTTTTTTCTTCTTAATTTTTATTTTTCTGTAAGTCTTTTCCTTTCTTAATTGGGCCTCTTTTGGCCACAAGTTAATAGTTATAAGGTACATGGGCAAGCAATCTGACATTAGACATAAGAATGAAATGTTGTGAAATATTAATGCCGGACTGATTGAGCTGTACCTGGATATCCAATCATGTCATGCAGTATGTCAATTTTAATTGTCTTTATAAAAAATTAAATTTAAAAAAAAAAAAAAAAATCGATTAAAAAAAACAAAAACATAATAAAGAGAATATATGAAGAACTACTTTTTATTCATAGTTGAACTCCCAGGATCCTATGTAACACCCTAGGTTGGAGGGTTTGTCGGCTTAATACATTAGCAGAAGACTAGAGATGGAAACTTACACGCTCTCCAGGAATCTGGATGCTTTAAAGGGAAAGCGAGACCATTGTCTATAGCAGCAATCTTGATGATCGGTTCTCGGACCAGTACCCAGTCTGAGTCCTGCAGAAAAAAACAACACAGCAATTGAAATAGTCTTCAGCGGACTCCAACACCTTTCCGAAAATAGGTAAAAGCTCATATACACATACTGACCCTGGAGGCTGCATTCTCCATTGGATAATCATACTTTATCAGCCAGTTATCATTCCCTCGGTCTATGGAAAAATAACATTAATAAAAAGGATTAATGAATAAAATACACTCCCATTAAACATGCATACCGGAACAGTTTACATAGTCAGCACCCAGTCAAGTTACTCGAAGGGCCAGCAGCCACTTTTAAAAGTTTAATAAAGTACAGATTTCGTTTTAAAGTAATAGTCCTACCTATGAACAGACATCACAATGCTGCCATTACCCTGATTATCCAGACACGCTTCTTTTGTGCCCTTCTCCGATTTAGTTTAGGGTCCTGACATCCTCTGACTTCATGTCTTAGTTCCACCAACTGTAACCCTTTGTCCAATGAGAGTGCGCTTACTAGCCACTATGACGTTCTCATTGGACAGTGGAGTGAAAGATGGCGGCCTTTAGCCATGAAGTTAGGAAAAGTCAAGCTTCAGTGAAACTAAGTCAGAAAATGGGCACAGAACTGTTATTTCTGGTGCATATAAAACAATAACAGGCAAGGTGCGGTATCAACTCTTAGGGCCCATTAACACCACATCCAGATTACCTCCAGACCAGACCGTTTCCAGACCCAAAATGCAATGTATCCCTATGCTATTTATGGCCTCGGTTCCCACCAGCGCAGTCCATTCCAGACCAGACCAGAAAAATACTGCATGTCTCATTTTGTCTGGTCTGGAATGCACTGGAACTGCGGCAGGTTCACACCATTTTGCGGACCACATATGGCCCTTAGACGTCTAGACGCCCTTAGACGTCTAGTTCTGAACGTTTAAAATGGAGCACAGGTTCACTTTAAAGTGGAAGTGGGGTACCCCGGGGGGAAAAAACATAAGCCCCCCAGTTGTGTTTGCCATAATGGGCTAATATGCACAGCAATGTCCCCCTGTTGACAATAATGCAATGAAGGCAGAGCCCCTGATCTGCATACTAGTTCCTGGTAACTGACGTCAATTGTTGAAGTCAGAAATGTCACCATGATAGCCAGGAAAATAGCATTTTTGAAGGAGGTGAGGAATGCAGCATATGGAGAACCTGGTCTCTCAGGACAGCATCCAGAACCATGGGGACAGGAATTACAAACTGGTACCTGTGGACAGCCTGCCAGTTACAGGTAACATCATACACCTCACTAAGAATACAGATGTCATGCAACCCAGACACCCGCCAAAAGAAAATTCAACAAGCAGTCTCTAAAGCAGGGGTAGCAAACCTCCGGCCCTCCAGCTGTGGTGAAACTACAAATCCCATGATGCATCTCTCTTCGGGAGTCATGTCGGTGGCTGTGAGAATCTTGCAATGCCTCATGGGATTTGTAGTTCTAGCCCAGAGCTGGAGGGCCGGAGGTTTGCTACCCCTGCTCTAAAGATTACCAAGGGTCAGTTCCCACGTGCTTTTGTTTGCAACATCTGCTTCTCTGCCCGCACCTAGCCTACAGCAATGCAAAAACAGTTTGAAGCAGGTCAGCAGCAAGTCAACTGCAATCAAATGCACCTGCAGTAAATAGAATGAATGATCTTCAGAAGCATCTCAATCTGATGTCAAAAGCAAGCTGCATTTGCAGCCCTAAGCCCACCAACACAGGGGTAGGCAAGCTTGGCACTCCAGCTGTGCTGAAACACACACACTGCCCCCGCCCCTTCCCCATGTGCACTGTGGTTTCACCTGCCGGCTCCTACGTCACTACTTGTGTCATGTAGTAATGTAGCAGCAGGTGGGTGAAGCCACAGCAAGCAGCGGTGAATAAGGCATCCGACACACTCAGGAAGTGTTAGATACCAACGATGGTCAAGGACTGTGGTCACCACCTCTGAACTGGTAAGTATCAACAACATTGAGTTACAGGTTGCCTGTAGTTGCCTTTTTTTTGGGCAGGGGGGGGTAGCGACAGGTCTCTATGACACAAAGTCTTGTTTGACACAAATTAATTTTTGGCCTTTCGGTTCCTCTTTCTTCAGGTCTATCACGAGAACCTTACCTTAAAGTTCAGCAGTCCGTTTAAGACAGCTTGCATTTATTTTGCATACCAACCCTACCAGACTCCTACTACCATAATATACAGGGGTACAGGTACTCCTAGAATGAGATCCTAATAGGTTGGACTTGATGGACTAATGTCTTTATTCAACCTCAAATACTATGTAACTATGTAACCCACAAAAAGGAACTTTTGCAGGTTGTGTGAAACCATTTCATTTTTACAACAATTAGCGCCGAGCTCCAGGTTCCAGTTCCAGGCAGATGTTAAACATTTTGAAATTGAATCCAATTATGTATTCGTAACCAATAAAGAGAAACCCCGATTTAGTCTTTATTTTAGCTTCCCGTAATGTCCTGCTTGCTGATTAGACAGAGCAGTGTGATGGATTTAGGTTTGGTGATGCTGTACCTTTATTCAATCAGCTGGCCGGGGAAGGGGAGTTGTAGATCAGTGACTGAGCTGTATTGTGTAACTGCAACAGAAGAACTTGAGGTCCCCCTGGCTATGCTGTGTCGAAGGGTTGAGGGGTGAGCAACCTATTGGATGGATAGTCAATGTGGTGATGCTTCTTCACTGTCCAATCAGCAGGTTAGGGAAGGTTGTATGTCAGTGACCGAGCTGTACTGTTTATCTGCAACAGAGGAACATGAGGTCCCGTCCCCCCCCGCCTATGCTGTGTGGAAGGGTCAAGGGGTGAGCAACCTATTGGATGGATAGTCAATGTGGTGATGCTTCTTCACTGTCCAATCAGCAGGTTAGGGAAGGTTGTATGTCAGTGACCGAGCTGTACTGTTTATCTGCAACAGAGGAACATGAGGTCCCGTCCCCCCCCGCCTATGCTGTGTGGAAGGGTCAAGGGGTGAGCAACCTATTGGATGGATAGTCAATGTGGTGATGCTTCTTTACGGTCCAATCAGCAGGTTAGGGAAGGTGGGGTTGCATGTCGATGACCAGACTGTATTGTTGGAGAAACATGAGGACTTATTGGCTATTATTGCTGAAAACAACAGTAATTCTGGCAAATAATCATTAGAATTCATGGAATTAAAGCCTAACGACAGCTGCTAATTAAAGGATATAAAATCCCAATATTAAACTCCTCTCATTACGTCTCTCTTGGTCTGTTAAATACACCAATGAAAGCCTTGTGTTATAGCAGTTTCATACGTGCAAAATAAATACCGGTTGGTCTTTCCAGAAATCGTGTGAGCTGATAAATTCCCGTGTTCTCTGTCTGTGCTGACTATTATCAGTCACATTGTTCTCAGAACTAGAGAACCATGCCCCTTTATGTTATGAATAAAAGGAGAGTCCTGTAGTCCTATCCTGTTTTTTCTAGTCCTGGTACAGTATCATGAGGTGAGTGTTGTCACCCTAGGACAGGAAGTGTGTTACTGGCAGAATCACCCACCAAAATAAAAAGAACACAAAACGCAGCCACCGCATCTACAGACTGGTAAACTGCAATATATAGAATTAGGGATCACCGATACCGGTATTTTGGTACCTGGTACGAGTACCGATACTTTTTTACCGGTACTCACCGATACCAATTACCGAAAGTCCCATTCAGGAAGTCATGTAATGACTTGCCACCCAGCTTCCCGATTAACAAGAAAGCCGTTCCATACCAATCCCCATAATAATCATACGGTCCAGCATGTCTCTGCAGTGCGGATCTCTGTCCTCTCTCACCTCGGCATGTCCAGCCTGTCACCCCCGGGCCTCTCCAGCAAGGAGCGGCCTTCCTCCGGTACCCAGCCGGAGCCGTCGTGCTGGCCAATCATGGAAGCTGGGTGCCGTGTAATGACACGGCGCCCCGCTTTCTGATTGGCCGGGAGGCCATGAGATGACGAGGGAGCATGAAGTCGGCTTCCCGGCCAATCAAAATGCCGGGCGCTGCGTCATTACACGGCGCCCACCTTCCTGATTAGCCAGCTTCCCAACCAATCAGGAACCCGGGCAGCGTGTAACGACGCGCTCCCCGGCTCACTAATACAGGAAGTATTGGGCTAGGCATCGGAGCATTTGGGCGAGTACGAGTACTCGGTATCGGTGCATCTCTATTTAGAATTTTAGTTTTTTTTTGGTATAGACACGCTTTAACTAAAAGTAACGATGAGGGATACCTGTGTTCCGAATAATAAAGTCCAGAACCACCAGTCTCTCAAACTGTAACTGGAGCTGCCGGTTTGTGTTTTCAGGAAGTGGTTCCGTCTCAAACCTCCGCAGCCAATAATCTGCATCTTTATGGCCTTTAACAAACAACTGGAAGGAGCCCACCTAGAAATCAAAGAAATGATGAGGAGAGGTCAGACACTTAGAGGATTTATAAAGCACGGCATACAACTGTATGAATGTGCTGCAAACCCATTATAAAATCAGCCCCCAAATTAGATTTACACCGCCCGACAAATCCATGCAAGCAATTATTTCCCATTACCAAATTTTTATTTTTTTCATTGCGTTATGTAACTTTAGAGAGCATAGTCCAATTAGTTCAGCCCATGCCCCAGTGTAGCCTACAATCTTACAACACACACACGCAATTATCGCAAGAACATACAACAGTACAATCAATATATTTTTAACCCCTTCGCTGCCATGGACGTATGTACTACATCTGTGGCAGCGCCAGCATGCAAACAATACCCTCGATGGCCAGCTTTCTAGTAGAAGTGATTTGAGCAGCTGTAAAGCCACCCGATCACTTCTACATGCTGCAGAGCATTTGCCACCCCATCAATGCGAATTGCTTCACAACCGGAGCTCGGACAGAAGTCAAACATGGTGCTATGTATTTATCAAAGAACATGTGTCATATGACTGTTAGAGTAGTAATTCAAGTGTGAACTTCCACTTTCAGGGAATGAGTAGCAATTGGTCTTCTGCAGAAACTTAATATTCTTATATTTTAAATTACACTGGCTTATTAGTTTAAGGATATAAACACATAAATAATGAAAGATTGTGAAGAGAGGGGGAAACGAAGCTGGATAAAGCTTGGGTATGATATACATTGGAAACAATTTTTTTATGGATACAAGGCAAATGTATAATTGTTTGTTTGGAAAAAATAAATATTATTCAAGACTGGTGTCTCCTCCCCTCTCCAGAGTGACAGACAGGAAAGGGGGCGGCCACAGCTGGCTCTAGAGAGGCAGAGCCAGCTGTCAATCAGGCAGCTGGGTGGATCCTGACAATATTGTCGGGATCTTTCCTGGCTGCAGCGCAGCTCTGCGATGTCAGCATATAGCCGGCAACAGCCCACCATTGGCTGAATTTTGGGTCACAGGAGGACATAAGTAAAGGTCTTCCTGTGACCCAAAAGAGAACCAAGGCCAAAAAAGGTTTGCCCATAGTTCTCTTTTAAAGGGCGAGTTCAAGGTGGGGAGGGAAGTAGAGACAAATGACAGTTATGAAACGTGTAGTAACAAGACATATATTCATTCTAGCAGGACTGCTGTCCTAGAATATACAAACGTAGAGTGAAGCGTTATCATTTACAGGTTCTCCTACCTTACCTTGGGGGGCAATCCTATCCGATTAAAACGCTGACCCACTTTTGGCACTTTTTCCAATGCCAATTTCTTCCCTCTAGACTTTACACGGTCAATGGCACTGTAATTAAAGGTTTCACTGGATAGAAATACAACCTGAAGAAAAAATGAAAAAAAGGGGGGCAAAAGCATTAGCGCTTTAAATAAGATATTATGCAAAAAAAATGCATTAATAAATCTAAATGTTTGGAAAAAGTAATGAAACAAACCTCTCCTAAGCCCCCCGTTTCATTACTTTTTGCACAATTGGTATGTCTATTTAAATGTTGATTTGTTACTTGTGCACTGTCATCTCTGAGCCTGATGAAGGGAACCCTGCGTGGCCCGAAAGCGCTTGCAAGCGAGAGACAGTATAAGTCAATAAATGAACACTTGATGCAGTCATTTGATTTTGTGTGCTGGTGACGTTCTTTGAATATCTACGTGTGGCGGCACCATGGCAGTCATTTCGAGCAGCCGACTGTACATCTATATAGGAATCCTGGTAAGGAGTGCAGCAAGTATCCTTCTCTTTTAGGCACAGCACACCAGCCGCTGTGTGTTTTGCCCAGCAGCTGCTGTGAATTGGCCCTGAAGGTAGTGTTTGTCTACTAAAATATACACAAAGGTCTTACCCGTGTACGGGGAACAATGTTAAGCTCTAGTTTTTGGTCCACGAGACTGGCTCCGGCTTCTGACAGATACCCCTGATTCAGGACAAGACAATCTCTACCAAAGAAGCAGGGACAGCAGAGTTTCTGTAACCATTTCGTCCACTTGGGGTTTAGCTGACCGTAAGGCTCCTCGGTTTTTGGTTTGAACACTGCAATGATCTCCTGTAGAGAGAAAGAGAAAACATTTATTCCCAGACACTCATGTGCTCGATATTTACATACTGCAGTGTAAAGACTGCTTTTCCAAGGCCTCATTCACACTAGCACTCCCGTGTTTAGCTTTTGTAAATGTAGAAGTGATCTGCGAAGACTAAATCAGCTTTTATGCTTCCCAGATCACTTTTCTGCATATCGATGTTACTGCTGAAAGCTGTGTTCACATGCTTTCATTTTCAAATCCAATCCTGGACAGACATATATTCTATTTTCTCTAAATGCGGCCAAACAATGCAGGTAAACACAGACATAAATTCAAAGTCTTAGGCCCATCACACCCCATTCAGATCTTCTCCAGACCAGACCCAACATGCATCCTAGTGTACCCCTGTGCTATTTCTGGCCACTGTTCACACCAGCGCAGTCCTTTCCAGACCAGAAAAATACTCCATGTCTCATTTTGTCTGGTATGCACTGGAACTGCGGGCAGGCTCACACCATTTTACGGACCAGATGTGGTCCAGAAAATAGTGTGAACCTGCCCTGAACGATACCACGGAGAGAAATTACATATCTTAATACCACACAGTTTGTTAACTCACAGCTAGACAAATCCCAGGAGCCAGGTCACCAATGCTCCTGCCACCTAACTTTTGAGGTTCTCTAGTTGTCAATGGAGCAGACTCCTAAAAAAAAATCCAGCGGGCTCCTGGATTGGACAGACTGATCCCTAAATTGCATACTAAATTTGTCCAGCCCTGTGTTACCTGAAAGAGCAGCCATGTTATCTAGATAATGGTGGTACAGTGATTAGAATCCAGTCTTGGAGGGGTGACTACTCTACACCACACACAGGGACCATGGGGAACAGAAGTAGCCCCCCTCCAGAAGGAAGGACAGTGTCAGCACCAATTCAGAGATGATTTGAGGATCTACAGCCGAGTGATACACAAATAAGACACATTTTTGTTATTAAAGGAGAACTATGGGGTCAGGGCTTTTCCCCATCGTTCTTCTAAGGGTAACGGGAGGACACAAACTAGAGTCCTCCCGTCACCCAAAGACGCCGCAACCAGAACGGATCCAGAGTTTAGTGTCACTTTAATTTCCAACCAGAAGTCAGCACTAGCAGAAATTAAAAAAATAAAAATAAAATCAGCAGCATGCATGTCACTTTTATCTGATGTTATACATATGAGTTAATAAGGACGTGCTCTTTTGGAACATTAGAGTGCCGGTGTCTTCCCATTTTCGTATCCGACGGCGCCATCCATCTGTCACCGCTGCACCTGCTTATATTCAGGGACCATACAATAAGGCGTGTGATGTGTTCATGGACGCTGATGGGGAAAAAACAAGCGACCAAAATGTTGAAATAATAAACCATTAAACTACAATTGTAAGGCAGCAGTTTGGCGACAGTCATGAGGTGGCTGCTGCTACCTTGTCTCCCCGTAATCTGGCGTCAATGCCCAGTAAAATGTACACAGTAATTCTGGGTATGGGGCAACTCCCCCCTGCCTCCCACTGCTGGGTACCCGAGTAGTTAGCTTCAAGCTCCTTCATGTGCGGGAAGGAGTGTAGTTACATCTAAGCAACCATCAACTTTTTAGAAAGTCAAAAGTTGCATAAAGATTTTGACAGTGGGGAGGGCTGGGATAGTAAAACCCATCGCCTTTTAGTACCCGCTACCAAATTGCTGCCTTAGAATACGTAGTGGCCACTCCATACAGAGATGCATCATGGGTGCCTGGAGTTTATCTTAAAAAGAAAAGATGATGAGCGTGACATAAATGACGTAGATTATGGATAAGATTTACATAAGCTGCACAAGACCGATAAACTGACCACAAAAATTAAAAAACACAAGCTTCCTATTCTGAAGGAACAGAAGAGGCAGCTGAAGAGATGTATTGTAGAAGTATGAGACGAGAGGCTTGTGACTGGGGAGTTGGTGGGTAGTTATGGGAAGTCTAGACAAAGCTTCTCTTCATCATCATTACCGTGACAATTGTAATACACGCATGGACAATTGTAGCCATGGACAAACCCAAGGAGACATTTATGGACAGATAGTCCACGCTCTTAATGTCCTCTTCACACGCCAGCAAGACACGCAAGTTCTTGAAAAACCTCATTAGAAAAGTGGAAGATCCTAAAACCCTCATGCCCAACCTGTGGCCCTCAAGTTTATTTTCTTTGATCTTTCATAATGCTGGGAAAATATATTTGAAGGGAAAATCTTCCCAATACAAAAAAAGCATGGACACCGGTACTCCAATAGCTGATTAAGTACGTCTATTAACGTACGTGCTGCATAGCAAATGCACTTAATGCAACGTTTCAGGGTCGCAAAGGATCCCCTTCATCAGGCAGAAACAGGTGATGGTGAAATCACATTACGCGTTTCTGCCTGATGAAGGGGATCCTTTGCAACCCCGAAACGTTGCATTAAGTGCATTTGCTATGCAGCACGTACGTTAAAAAAATAGATGTACTTAATCAGCTATTGGAGTGCTGGTGTCCATGCTTTTGTTCATATGATGAGGCGGTTGCCACCCACCGACAACCGTAGCACCCATCTTATCACATTGGAATAGCGGCATCTGAGTGCGGTGGGTATATGGACTATATCTTCGCAATAGAGACACAAATAGTAATAAAGAACTTACAAAGGTTTCAAATCTTCACCATTTTATCCAAATTATAGAAAAACATTTTGGTTGGGTTACCAAACTCACAATAAACTGTATTTATGTGGCAATAAAAGAGAACACTGGCTGTAATCCAAGCAGTTGAGCCCCCGATAAAGTCCTTCTACATCAGCTACATTCATATGTTTCCTCAATGTACATGAACTGAAATTCTGAAGATATAATGCTGCGCATCATTGTATTGAATATTTTAACTCATGCAAAGTTCTGTCTCCATAGCACAGTAATACTCCTGGGCCGGGTTGTTCAGAAGGCTCAGGGCTGAGGAAGGAAACAGAGTAGCATGCAAATGTAGACATGGAAATACTAGCAGGGCAGAGCTCATAATTGCCAAGCACTGTATCCCCAGGCTTGCAGGGGCCAATATTTCCTCCATGTCATGCCAGGACCCCCTCCACCCCCCTCTCCCTCCCTCCAAGGCCTATTGCCATTACAATACCCATGCCCTCTAAAACACCTGTCCTTCCAGGCCTACTGCCATCATAGCTTCCACAACGCCAAATAGGAACTTGCCCATATCTGCACAGCAATCATTCTTTAGATAGGGCAGGGCTGCGACGGCCGATAGGGCAGGGCTGCGACGGCCGATAGGGCAGGGCTGCGACGGCCGATAGGGCAGGAGTGGATGGACAGAAATACAAAGCTTTTGGCAGGTAAAACAGCCCCAATATAGGCTGTTCTTCTGTGTATTGTTTTTTGCCTGGAGTTCAGCTTTAAGTCTTCTTCCACAGTAGAACACTAAACCAGGAAAAGATCAAATAAAAAGGATTATCTCTCACCATGCTTATGAGTTGCCCAGTATGACCGATACCCTTACTAGCACATAATGCAGCTGCCCGCAGCCTTGGCGAGGAAGGCAAGCCTAATACCCCTCATACACAGGAGATTAAAGATTAAACAAGTGGAAAGAACTTACAAGGGAATCTGAACTACATACAAAGCATCAGCGGAGCGTACAAAACGTCCTGCTCCGGTTCCAAATTCCAGGTTTCCTTTACTTAAACACGAACCGCTGTTCTGCCTCACTAAAATTAGAGATGTAGATAGTAAAGTGACGCAGATAGCACAGAAAGCCAAATTACCCGACGATCAATACAGCCAGAGGATCAATAGAGCCAAAGCAAGCAAGAAATGAGAAGAGAAACCTGGTCTTTGTGCAACACAGATAACGCGGGCAGTCAGTCACTGAACACGTCTGATAACGGCATTGAGGTGAAAGAAGAGGACATGCAAGGTGAGATATGAGCAGATAGACATCTGAGATGGGAAACTTACTTCTAAACTCTAATGCGGAGAAAGTGAGATGAGACGGGAAGGCTGCAGAGCCACTCTAGTTACAAATTAAGCAAATTAGGGAAAGGGAGGCGATGGGAGGTGTTATCTCCAATTCACAGCTATCTTTTGCCATAATAGCTTTCCATACCCTACCATTCTATATGTGCCATAAAGCAATAGTAGCTTCCCACTGTCAGTCACGGCTCCCCGCAGGGATTCTCCCCTCACTTCTCCATACCTGCACCGCTGACTGGAGCAATGGACAGGGGAGGAGGCGGGCACAGTTGGCTCTGGCTCTAGAGAGGCAGAGCCAGCTGTCAATCAGGCAACGGGGTGGAACCCAACAATATTGTCAGGATCTTTCCCAGTTGCAGCAGGACTCTGCACTGTCAGCATGTAGCGGGCAATAGCTGAGTTTTGGGTCAAAAGAAGACGCTAGTAAATGTCCTCCTGGGACCCTCAAGAGAACTACGGCCACAGTTCTCTTTTAACCCTTGCAGGGTGGGGGTAGCCTCACTGCAAGGGTTAATAAATTAAATCCTGGAGTTCTTCTTTAACAATTGCTACCTATAATGTAAATGGAAGTTAGCAATTGTATTCCTGCTTTCCTGTTGGAGTAGTTATTCGAAAAATGTTAACAAAATCAAACAGTGGCTTATGAGTTCTACTCAACTGACTTTCTGGTGGCGACAGAAGACAGGCTGGTGACATTTACATTGAACTACCAAAAAAAGAATTTGGAGAATGTCACACAATCTTAAGACAAAGTATTCTCTGACCAGCCCTCTTCACACACAACACTGAAGTGAACTGTGTATCAGATGTAGAGCCCTTTCCAGGAGCACAATCAACAAGTCAGTAAACTGCTAGGGTTGCACTATATTATCCACAGGTCATAGCAGGAAAGTGAAAATACCGGACTTCTCTTTCTTGCTGGCTTACTTTGTGGTGCAAGCTTTCCAGAACACCGTGTTCCTTTCATCAGCCCAAAAAAACAAAAACCTCATCAAAAAAGTTCTCCTTTATTTTCACTTCCTGACTGTAACCAAAAGCAAAATTAAACGATTTATACTCACGAACTTTGCTCTAAGAAACAGAAGAGGAAATTCATTGTTATTTTCCCTTTAAAAAGGATTTTCCACATATAGCCTACTCAGGAAAACCCCTTCACCGCAGCCACGAAGGTGACCGGCAAGGGTAACATTGCTTCACTCTGCCATGGAAGGCCAAGTCCAGGATACATTTCAACCTCCCTCCCACGTCCCACTATCTGATCGCTGGAGGAAAAAAAATCCCCATCTGAAAGCCCTATTTTACTTATCTTAAGCCACAGCCACGTGATGCCACAGCCACGTGATGCCACAGCCCAGAGTCTACTCCTCTACTCTTTATACTCTTTACTTCCTGCTTGGATCCTTACTTCCTGCTTGGATCCTTCTTTGAGTGTCCATGTCAGCACCTGCACGAAGTGGACACTTCCTGTTGGACGTCCATTGGCCCGGGTCGTCTCAGGATCCAGAAGAGGACCAACTTCAGTGTGACCTCATAGGGGGAAGGAGGAACAAGTCTATCAGGATGGGTTAAAGGTGGGTGGAAAAAAATACTTCTGACTGGAGTTGGGCTTTAAGCTGTTTCAGGAAAAGCCTAAAAGCTGCTTTGGGTCTTCCACTGATCACAGGTTCTTTGATTGACCACCCAGAAGAAGTACCATCCCCGCTGGTAGTACCTACACCCAACAAAGGGAGGATTCCCTCCAACCATAGGCTAAAGCCAGGTATACACGCTTCTAATTTTGGACGGTTCTTGATGAACCAGCCGAAATTCAATGTGTGGGTGCTGCTGTCGGCACCTTTCTGACCGACATCCATCGATCACCTGATTGAAGGAGCATGTTGGAAAATTGTTGGCCAAACAGAGCTAGCAGGCAATGAGCTACCAACTCAGTTCGGGTATTCTGACAGTGGCCGGCAGCAAAAGGAAAGCATTGATGGAGGAATCTGTCCTATGGTCTTCCTTCAGCCGACAGGTTGAACAAAGAAAAAAAAAATAAGCGTGCATACCTGACTTAAGAGTGTAGGATCCCTTTAACCACTTAAAGTGACCAGCCAACTTAGCCAATGCTCTACTTTGCTGTGCAGTCTTGCAGGGCTGCAACCAACTAATCGATAATAAATGATAATGAGAATAGTTGTCAACTATCATCATTGATTAGTTGGTGTTTATCCCCTAATTCTCTGAGAGCCGGTGTTTCGTAGGCTCATTGCTGCTTCCAGCGTGGAACAGAGGGGGACACAGACCCCTGCAGCTAGTGCTCAGCGATGAGGAGAGCTCCCACATATTCCCTCTGCATCTCTCTCTCTCCTGCTGGGAGCCAGCTGCAGTTTGATTCCCTCCGATCCCCACTGCTCTCCCCCGTTTGTATCGACAGAGGCTGTGGGGATTGGAGGGGACACAGGCCGATGCAGCTGGCACCCAGTGGGAAGGAGAGACCAGCTGTCAGCCAATGCCGCTGTGACTCCATATTGGGTGGAATGGCCAGCCTGCTATTGGCCATTTCGAATTGCATTAGCCAATAGTAGGCTGGCTATTGCACCCACCCATCCACTGCCTGCTGTCAATCAGCAAAGGAATAGACCGGAAGGAGAACTTCTTGCAGTTTTATTCTGCAGTAAACTTGTTTGTAACACTCCTTTTGTGTATTTTAAATAAAAAAAATGAAAAAAAAATTCTATCCAACTAATCGAAAAAATAATGTGCCAACTAATCGATTATGAAAATAATTGCTATTTGCAGCCCTACAGTTTTGCACCAGGCTGTAGACATGGTGGATATTTTGTACAGTAAAGTAGGTGAGCCATTAATTAATATGGAATAATTAATAATAATATGGAATGGAATTAAATATGGAATTCAGGGGCCGATCTGTCCAACCCAAGAGCCAGCGGGATTTTTTTCCATGGGCCAGCTCACCTGACAACAGCTAGAGAAAACCTGGAAAGTTGGGCACCAGCTGTAACTTTTAAGGAGCATTGGCGACTCGGCTCCTGGGATTTGTCCAGCCCCGGGATAAAAGGTGGTGCACAACGATAACGCAATGTGCCTGACCTAAAGTCTGCAAGACCTCTAGAGTGGGAGAATGAATGTCAGTGTAAAGCAAATATTATACTTCCATCACCTGATCCCAGAATGTCACAATCCCGGATTCTCCTTCATAACAAACCCTTTACTTACTGATAAATATTTCATTAGAAAAAAAAAAAAGGAAGTACTTTTCAATCCTTCTTATAAAGTGGGAATGATGCCCTTAGAACAAAGGAAGTGAAACGAGAACTATATGAAAATCGTGTTCCTCTCTCTGTAGAAGACTCCGCCACACTTCTGAGTGATAACCAGCTGGAGAAATCTCACCGTATGGCTTATCAATAAACACAAAGTCCAGATCAGATATTACCTCTGGTTAGAAAAAACATTTTCTGATCGCACCGGACCACAGGCATTGATGTGCCATGCGTTGCGGGGCGGGCAATTGCACTGCAGTTGGGGGAGGGGGGTGGCTGGGGTGCCATTTACTTCAATGTGCCGCCATGACCCATCCCACCCCAGAATGCAGTGAGCCAGCCGGGAGGCGATCCAGTGCGTTCCAGCACCGAATCGCCCCGGAACGCACTGGGGCGGGTGTGAACTGGTCCTAAATGTTCATTTTTACAATAAACTGCAAACCCCTCAGTGTATATAAACCTGAACAATCAACATCTCTCCTTATTATGCTCCCTTTTGGTATGTTAAGTAGCAGTGACATCACCACTGTGCTGCACAGTATTTGGAATTCACTGTACTGTAGCTGGAACTAACTGAAGCTATTCTGCTGATATGATGATGTGTTTGGTGCTGATCTATGATGATGTGTTTGGTGCTGATCTAGGATGTCCCAGGTTTATTAGGGTTCTAGTACCTGTACTGTAGCTGGCCAGGAATCCGATCTCCTATGTGCACCCCCTTATGATGTTTTGGAGATGCTGGCCAGGTACAGTACAGGTACCAGAATCCCAATAAACCTGGATCATCATAGATCAGCCCCAAACAGTGTTCTCGGCACCAGCAGAATAGCTTCAGTTAGTACCAGGAGGATGCCAGGAGTCCAGCCTGCAATCAGAGCCAGAGGGGGGCCAGAAAGACCCCTTTGACCCTGTGCCCTGGGGGCAGCATGGCAAATCATCTACAGCACTTCTTAACCCAACATCTGTGCTCAGCACTACTTGACCAAAGTCGGCACTTCAGTGCCAAGTACCTCTCATAGGGGGTACACACCCCCTTCAATGGACGTCCAGCTCCTGCAATGGGCACACATCCCCATCAATGGACGCCCAGCTCCTGCAATGGGTATGCAACCCCTTCAATGGATGCCAAGCTCCTGCAATGGGCACACACCCCCTTCAATGGGCCCCCACCTCCTGCAATGGGCACACACACCCTTCAATAGGCCCCCACCTCCTGCAGAGATCACCCACCTCCTGCTCGTCCTTGACGAAGTAGCTCCCGCTGGAGCCTTGGGAGATCCTCTCGGGGAAGATGCCTCGGCTGATGGCCCTCTCCGCCCTCCTCACCACCTCGGCGAACTCGGGGTCGTCAGGGAAGCAGTTCTTGTACCGGGTGGTGGAGCGGTCTAGAAGCGGCTGCCTCTCCCTCTCGGTGGGTGACCCAGGCGGGGAAGGAGCCGGCGGAATACCCTGCGGGACCCTGACCACCACACCAGGCAGCCCAGGGAAGCGGGAGGCGGGGCTGAGCT